AAAAAAAACTGTCGTGTCTACAGTACTCAATCCTGAACAAGTCTTTTTTTGTGGTTCGTGAAAAAAGTCTAACAGTGTGCTTTAACACCCTATCCACATGAATCAAAATTCAGACACTAGCAAACGAATTCGTCCATCATGTTAAAACGAGATTATGTGAAGTTGATCACATAATAAAACCCTTATTTGCGCTATCTTTTTTTACTGCTGCTGCAACTCCCTCCTCTTAGTTAACGCATTTATGAGTGTTATGTGCTATTCAACTAATGACGATGTGAAATATCCTTTCGCGGAATCCTAAATCTTCTATGAGTTAGGCTAATTCAACCCACCTGCGATGTAATCAGTTTTGTCTTGAATTTCCTTACGTTGTGTGTTGACAGTAAATCCACTGCCTCCGTTCGAAAAATGACCTTAACAGGCAGCATTAGCCAGAGAAGTGATAATGCTTGAAGAATTAACCTTAGGTGGACCTCGGAGGTGGAACTCAGTGGCGTTCTGTATGCCGGAAAAATCCATCGTTTCAAATGTGAAGTTTTCTCCAGCAAGAGGAGGACTAAGAATTAGACTTCGGTGCACAAACGATAGAGCGCCTACTGAAGCTTTTGAGAATAGTTTTTTTACTAATGACAAAAGCGGCTCATTCCTGAAAATAAACACATTTACATAAGCTTTTGAAAGGCGCTGGTCAATGCGGAGTTACCTAGAAACAATGACTTCGTCAATGTCAAGAACTGCTCCAAACTCGCTGTTGAGTCGTAGCACACAATCGTTGTGAGCCAGTGAATGGGCAAGACGATATAGCGATAGGTTTGGGTCGATGAAAGTGCTTCGAGGAAGCAAGGACCACGGAACAATTGTGATAAAACCCTAAAAACGAATTTTCCGTGCAATTGCTTTCTTCGTAGAAGACTTGGGCGTAAGATTTTTGAAATAACACTGATGAACTCATCCTAGCTAGTCCCTCCGAACAAAATGACAAACCTCATTTTGATAATGGATGAGCACATCGTACACGTGGTTACTGGATGAGTGGTAGTACACGAATACATGATCTACACCTTGGGCTCTCCAAACTTCTATAGCAAATATCAGCTTTGTCCAGTCTGTAAACCTAAAAGGATTTATATAAAAGAAAATACTATATTTTGAAATTTTGCGTATGTTTTCATGATGCAATGCTAGAGTAATTGGAAACAATATTCTAAAATACTCGCAAAGCAGAGAGCGACAAATAATTTTGCTCCTTCTCTGCAACAACTTTCAATAATATAATGTACCGTCTCACGTTTCATTTTTTAAACATAACCTCACATGAAGAAAAATACCGACTCCATAAACGACAAAACAAATTTGTTCTCTTTCTTTTTACTGTAAGAAGCAGAAAAGTTTGTTTCGATTCTTTTTGTCACTCCCATATCTATAAAGTCAGTGTTCAACTTGTATACAAATAAAAGTTTGATCATATATAGATGTCTTTTTCTGTTTTGTCTTGTTTTGTTTGAGACTCACTTCGTTACAGGCAGCTATAAGTCTCAGGAACACGACAATTCTTCACGACAATTCCTCTCAGCGAGCAATGCGATAAGATGTGTAGTGAACAATATCTAATCTTGTACATGCTATATTATTACCAGACCTCTGCGGCAGGTCTCCGAAGGGCAAGCTGGAATTCGTTTTTGTGAAATAAGCAAAAAGGAAATCGTACAGGGCCCTAGTGGGAATCTGGAGTTTATTATCAATTCTGATTGCTTCCTTTACAGGAAGAATGTTGAAGCTCCCCACATTCCTCTTATTATGCAATTCTACACGCATTCCGTGACCGTCCAGAAACATGCCCCGATACGGATTCGATGTTCGTTTCAATGCGGACGTTTGCGCGGGACCAAACAATATTACAATTTCTATGTAAACCGGTTTTTCTTAGCGAGTAGACAGCATCGACCAAAATTGCCTGAAAGATGCGAAACAAGGAGTAGAAGAAGTGTTTGAAAAATCTTTGAATCGCCGTACCTTTTCTGATTTAAGTCTCCGGCGGAGACCTACGGGAGACCTCAAATCTCTTAGCAAACACCACTTTGTTTCTCATAATTTTGCGCTCCTTATAGCAAACACTTTTTTGCATCCCTTGTTGCAACTTATAGCAGAATAACTGGATCAAAGGACTTTCTCTCTTCCTTACTAGGGCCCTAACTCGTTTTACTTTGATGAAGAAAACGTGCTCCACGCAAACAGCACTGCAGTGCTCGTCTTGCTTGCACGCGTCTGTACAGGTTACAAAGGGGGCTTCGTATCCTGGATTTTCAAGCGGGTATTTGTTCTCGTAAGATTCAATCCGAGACCTCGTGCCAAGGGCATTATTGCTTCCGAATCCTATCAAGTGACAAAGCGGTTGACATTAACTCATACAGGTTATTCCAAAACCACACTCACTTTTCTTTTGTTTTTTCGTACCTTTAACGCTTCCACGAGATCTCCACGTTTATGGAAAACAAAATTCGATTGAATAGTTCCGTCAATCTGCATCTTACAGGGTAATAAGGAAACAGAAAAAATCGAGATAGGTAGCCCAACTTTGGGAGCCCTCTAGGACTGATTTTGTATGAGCAAGAGCTGTCTCGGCATCCCTTTGAGGCAAATATCCCTGCGTCCTTAATTTAGATATCTTTCATCATTTTTTCCTCCTTTCCCTCTGCAAAACATGGAATTGTGCAGCGAGCTACTTATAAATTTTCATGGTGAACCCAGATTATTTGACTAAATTTGTACAAACATATTTGACCCTTTTTGATTTCATGCTTATTCAGCACTTTTAATCTACATTTGCGTTGATGGAATTGCGAAAAAACAATCGCAGCGCATGGTATGCCATTTTGGCGCGTTGATCGGCACATGTTTTTTTGCAAAGAATTAAGAAGGTCTGAACGTTTTCTAATATTAATATCTATAATCAGTAATTTTCTAATAATAATAAGATCTTACCAATAAACGGGAGGCACACAAAATGTGAGTGTTCCCTTTGTCCTTGGTGATACACGTTGTAATGATATCGTCATCTTTTTCTTTGCTCTGGACAATGTAATCTGTAATGTCTTATTTATGAACTAACGAAATAATAATTTAAAAGTAAGATGGTGTTAATATATTCTTCTCAATGGGAATACTTGATACATACTTTCGCGGCAAATCCCCATAACCATAATTTCATCTTGTACCCCAAATAATTTTTCAAATCATTACTTAAGATGTAGCTCAGTTCAAAAGAACTGATTTGATAGAAACCAATTAATTCTTTAGATACGGTCTCTCTATGCTATGCATGGCTCTGTAGAGAATATAATTCTATCTAAAGA